AAAAAAAAAAAAAAAAAAAAAAAAAAAAAGAAACTGATGAGAGGTTCAGGAGAAAAGTTGAGAGTTCTATGAAGTGTTTCACTGGGGGACCTAACTTTGTTTGGGATAAAATGCATTGACCAGTCATAGCTGAAGGATGTGCCAGACAGAAAGAACAAGGTGTCTGAAGGTTCTGAGGTAGGAAAGCACTTGGCTCAATGGAGGCCCTCAAAGTAGACCCATGTGACCACTGTGTAGTGAGCAGGATAGGGCAGGCAGCTGGAGGGGGAGGCTGGTCCGCATGGAGGCTCTGTTTAGGATTTCTGGTATTTTCCTAAAGATGGCAAAAAGCCATTAAGGTTCTGAGTGGAGTGATATAATCCAACTTACATCTTAAAACAAGCATGGTGTGTTCTGAGTACACTGGAGGGAAATGCAGGGCGGGAAGAACCCAGTTAGTGCAGAGGTCTGGGCAAAAGGTGAGGCTGGCTGAGCAAGGGCAGAGGTCCCCATGGGGAGGAGCAGACAGTCAAGTCAAGGGGGAGCATGGAATCAGCAGGAGACTGTGCATAGATTCACAGTCCATAAAGTTAGAAGGCAAGACAGTAGCCTGTAGGGCCACAAATAAAGGTCTGTGGTCCACCAGGATGTACAGCACCACTCTTCGTGTCAGGCCATCCACTGTCTCCAATGGATGGTTCAACTTGACCAAACGGCATGTGCCATAAGAGGAGGAGAAAAGGTGGGCTTTCCATAGAGGCAGCTGGAGTAAATTTTCATCCCGTGCACGTAGAAGAGGGCATGCAGATAAGTTCCTCAGTCCTGCCCAGCTTCAGTTTTAATCTTCTCCAAGACAACTGAAATCCACATTGCCAAATTTGTCCAGGCATAATCCCTGTATGTTGTTATGCTAAGGCTCTGATCTCTCTGCCATTATGAGATACCCATCAAAGTCTCTTTCTGTTTTATGGATGTAGGGAGTATGTGCCAAGTTCACTTTTTTTTATTAAAAATATGGATTATTTATTTACGTATAGCTTTAAGGTCCAAATATAAATATGTTGTGTTACCCCCAAAACACAGTAGAAAAACCTAGAATCTATTGTTATAATGCACGTCAAGAGAAATATTGTTGTATAGCAGGCAAATGATGGCTCCCCAAAGATATTCACGTCCTAATGCCTGGAACCTGTGAACATGTTACCTTCCATGGAAAAAAGGACAGTGGGATGGATTATCCCCTAGAGCTTCCAGAAGGGAAAAAGCCTTGCCACACCTTGATTTTCGTCAACTGAAACAGGTTTTGAACTTCTGACTTTAATAAATTTGTATGGTTTTAAGCCACTATGTTTGTGGTAATTTGTTATGGCACCAATTGGAAACAAATACATGTAGTTAAACTCAGGTCATTTTAATCGGTGGCAAAGCATGAGCGCTTGTGTCAGGGACACTCAGAAAGGAGACTCCAAGGTTGCCACTTACTCTGTGTGATCTCAGCCAAGGTACATACCCTCTCTGAACCCTGGCTTTTCTCATTCATAAAATAAGTCAAATAATAACTACTCCCAAAGGTTATTATAAATATTTTGCTCTCCTCTCTAGCGTTCTGCCTAATAGCATATACACAAAGGGTTATGCAGTCGAATGAGACATAACATACAAGTACATATTCAAGTTCAAGATGCAGGTACTCCCTGCTTTTCGAAAGTTTGCTTTAGGCCCACTTCACATTTATGAAAGACCTACATTAGTACCTGTTTTTGTGAACCAAAAG